CTGCTCTTCCTTCCAGCCTCCTAGCTGCCCCAGACCATGCCCAGGCTCTCGCAGTTGAGCCACCTCAAAACTCCCTTGTTCCCTTCTCCCTCTTCATCTCTCTTCATCCCTTCAGTGCACATGTCCTGGGATTCTTGGCCAGTCTGTAGCTCTGAGGTGACAAGGACAGCAGGGAAGGGACAAATGCAGTGTGATTTACATAGACTGGCTCACTTATCAACACGGTAGATGAGGCAGGCAGGTGCTGATAGTAATTGCATATTGCATTGGTATTAAGTTCAGGGTTCAACAACGGGGAAGAATGGAGAAAAAAATGTATCACCATATATAAACAAGATAAGAAAGTGCAGTCCTTCAAAGTAAATATTTTATAAATGCTCCCAAGATGCTGTGCCTTTTCCCAGCCATACCTGTGCTGTTCTGCCACACTGAAGAGGGCTTACTTGCCCAAAGAGGAAACTAGCTTGGCTGACTCTGATCCTCCTGGCTGAGCTTTGCTGTTGGGAGGGCTGCAAATAAGCTTAGGTGAACAGAGTCTTGGATGAGGAAAGCAGACCGGCAATGTGGTGGCCTAAACTCTGCCACAGTGCCTGAGTGTAGTGGAAATGTCTGGACTGTGACAGGTTTATTACAGCTCTCTGCAGGCAGACTAGGTACGTGCACCTGCCCTTAGCTATAAGATGACAAGAGAAAAGTGTTGTAGGCAGCACTTCTCTGTATCCTTGCAGAAAAAAATTCCCTGCCCTTTTTATCTACCCAGTTCAAATCTACTTTTTTTTATCTGTGTTACGAGTCTCTCCCTGGATGCCTGGTTGCAGGGACTACTCCTCCAACACTCTTCTTCCTTTCTTCCCTCACCCAGCTCTACAATCTTCCTCACTTCCCCCTGCATCCTGGCTGATGCAGGGTCTGTTCCTGGCCCTCCGCTACCATTGCCCTCCCTGACATTGTGAACATCTCTTTCTGCTGCAGCATGAAGCCTGCCTTATCCCTGTCACCTGCCAGGTCCCCTTGGCCACACTGAAATCACATCCTCTCAGCAGGTGCTCTGCACTCCTTGCATGGCTCTATGATGCTCTGAGTCCAGCAGCAGGGTGAGGTGCAGGCTGTTCTTCTGCATCAAGCAGCTTGACTGAGTTCAGCCCGCAAAAAGGCTGGGATAAGGCTGATAAACCAGCCCTCCTCTTCTGCCAAGTGAGAGCAAAAATATAGCTGGGAAGCCACAGGAGAGCATGATGGCATGATATTTTACCCTAGTCTCAGATCCAGGAAGGAATGATATTTGGCTTCACCTGGGGAAGTGCTGTTGCTTCAGTGCTGCCTGCATCACTCCAGGCTGTCAGGAAAAGAAAGAGCTTCATGAACGTTTCCATACTCCACTGAACCTCTTCTGCAGCACTCCAAATTGACCTCACCATATATCTCATCTGCAATGAGTATTTATTGTGTTGGCTACTGGCCTTTGAAATGCAGTAATTCTTTTGAGTTGCCTATAAGGTTAAGATTTCATCAGATATTAAGACTTACATCATAGTTTTAATACTTGTTTTTTCTATATCTGATGAAATCCAGGCAGAAGAATATGCTGGGGTTTTATAACAGCCAATTATAAACCAGGCAGAAAACAAGGATTTCACATGGAGATTCATTAAACTTTCTGTTCTGATCTGGAATTTGCTTGGCTAAAGCATCTGCAGCCTAGTCCAGTAAACCCCCTCATCTTACTCAGGAATCATTTAAGGTCAAGGAACCCGACAGAAGTTTGCTTCATTCAAGATCTGAGGGCTTAAGCAGAATAGTAACTGATTCTTCACACATTTTTAACCCTACCACAAATCCGAGGTACCCTCCTGCTTTCACTGAGGTCTCAGATAACGTGATTCACCTTGCATTTGCTGTGTGCCAGCCCCATGCACAGCCTCCTGCCGTGGTCCACCTGGCACACAGTAACTCATTATGTGCCGGTAACTTTATCATGTGCCCAAATCCTGAGGTTGCGGTGTACGTGTAACACGAACTTTTGCACAGAACAACAGATGGTTTCAGCAGCCTGGTGCCAGAGGTGTTGAAAGATGAAGATCCCCCACCTCCGCCTCCTCTCCCAGCCAGAGATGCCAATAGTTGCTGTCAGCTGACTTCAACAAAATGCTCAGTTTCTAACACCTGTATAAAAGTTTATTATCTGTACAAAATTAGCAATTTTAGGCTTAGTCCCCAGGGTACTTTAAACAGCCTGGAGATACAGCAGTGTCCCTGAGACCTTAGCCTGGCAGTTATTGGAGGTCAGTTGATTCCTCCTGGGAGGGCTGTGACCAGGGAGACAGCTGCCTGCTGTAGCTGCTATCTTCTCAGGCAAAACGCCTGACCTTGTGTCCCATATCTCTCCCCATTCCAGTCTTGCTATTTTTGTTACTATACTGTTTTGAAATCACTGCTTTCAGCTGTAGAGAAAGAGCAAGAGGCACCAAGCACTTTTTCACCTAGGAAATGGTGTTTTCTCCCATTCTCTGGCATAGGTATTGAGTTCACCTGATCTACTTCAAGGCCCTGAGTTTATCCTCAGAGAAGCAGCTTGGTGACTTTTCTTTCAAAGCTAATATCAATGTTTATGGCACAGATTAGGTACCTTTGGGCAAACTGAAATTAGTGATGCCTGTGTGAGTTTCAGGCTGCTGGTCTGTCCAGCCCCTGCAAGACAATGGAATCCAGTGTTGCTCCTGTAACTCGCCCTAAATACAGAGGTTGTACCAGTAATCTGCTTTGTGAGGAGACCTGTGCTAACCTGCCCATATTTTTATGTCTCTGATCTCACTCTATCGTGGTATTTTAGACTTTCATTCTGTCATAACCAGAGTTTAAGGTTGTTCCCATAATCACTACCCTGCATGACCTTTAACACATGCTGTATTCTTACCCTGTCTATGCTAACAGTCTCTCTGAGACGCACCTGTCTCCCACATCTCTCTGGCTTCAGGACTGCAAGTTTTTTTCCATAGAGTTAGTTCAAACCACAAATGCTCCTATGTTCTCATGAACCTCTTGCTCTCTGTCTCTGAAAGTATAGCCCACATTAATTTTTTACAAGCTCCCATTAGAACCGAAAAAGTGCTTCTTCCTTTACAATGTTAGCTGTCCTAGAGCTTAGTTATTTAGTGCATCAAAATAAGAAAGCTGTGGCTGCCTTGTCCCAGCACAGCTCAGCAGGAGCTCGAGCAGATGCCAACACTGGAAGGCACAGCCCAGCATCATGCACAGAGCTGCTGTCCACCACAGGCAGGGGTCCTGCCTGACTTGGCTGTAGAGGACCCACTTCCCAGCTCCCTGCCTCTATCACGCTCCTGGCAGCCTCAGACGAGGTGGAAGGAGGGCAGCAGGCCCTGCTGCAGGCACCGCTGACTGGGGACATGGTGACTGTCAGGCAGTGTTGTGACCCCTGCTCTGTGGGGAGACTCCCAGTAGCTCTCACTGTTGCTCTGCAGAAGGACTCGTGCCTGGGTCAGCCCTGCTCTGCAACCACTCTTACAGAGCTTGGAGAAATGGGTCACTGCCCGGAGTGTGTGGAATGCATCCTTGGCAGAGGGAAGGCTTGTGAGGGCAAAGTGCACTTGTAGGCTGTTCGTTGTGCCTCATGCTGGGTGGCATGGAGCACACTTTATGCTTTTTGTAGATTTTCACAGTGAGCCTCTTCTTGGAAGTATCAGAACTAGGTAGCACCAAATAAAAGATTACTTACATGTTATTTATATATCCACTGATTCTACACATTTCAATGACTTTGAACTCTGGAGAGACTTTTAAATATTCACTTCCTCCCTGATAGTTTTTCATTCCTTTTAATCCTTGTGTCTAGAAGTTATTTGACCCTGTGGAGCCTGTGAGTGGCTTGTTGGGTTAGAATGGATCAAGTCATGAACCACTTAACAGCTAACAACCAGATTTTCAGAAGTGTCCAGCATGTCATATGTCTTACTGAGACACTGGAGACATATTTTTTAAGGTCAATAGTGTTTGAAGTAGTTACTATTTCTGAAAATCTGTTTTTTCAATGCTGAAATAACTATAGCTGTGGATTTCTGTGATGACATGATGAAGGGCAGCTCAGAGTTTCATTCAGGTGGGTGTATTTTTTTTCAGCCATCCCTGGATGAAAAAAAGGAGAGCCAAGACAAACACCCTAATGTTCACACGGACCTGAAGGAATGGCCTGAAGTTATGTCAGGGAAGGTTTAGGTTGGATACAAGACAAAGGTTCTTCACCCAGGCAGTGTTTGGGCACTGGAACAGGCTCCCCAGTGAAGTGGTCACAGCACTGAGCCTGACAGAGTTCAAGGAGCATTTGGATGATACTTTCTGGCACATGGTGTGACTCTTGGGGATGGTCCTGTGCAGGTCCAGGAGTTGGACTCGATGATCCTTGTGGATCCTTTCCAAATCAGTATATTCTGTGATTCTGTGATTATTGGATCAGCTAAATTCTGAAAATGGGATTGTGTAAGGAAATAGGAAGTATTTTCAAAATACAAGAGTAAGATTTATTGATAATTTTTGCTAAAGCCACCTGCAAATCTGAAAATTTCTTCAGGGGTGAACAGGGGCAATGCTCTTCAAAGTTGATCTTGTTTAAAAGAGCTCATATGGAAGCACCATGCCACATGGGACAGCAAGGTGAAGTAATTATCACAGCCATGGACAATTTGCAGTGTACAGAGCAAGGGCAGGGCTAGTATTCCCCAAATCCAGATACTTAAAATAAGTGTTTATGTCAGAGATTAGTTACATCTACACTTTCCTTACTCTCTGAGGAGAGAGATCAGTTCCTCTAGAGAGTGATTCTTCTTATTTGCTGAGAATGGTAAAATTAGACAAGACAAATTTTACCTGTGGCAAGACACCTCAGGGCCACAAATACTTGGTATATAGGCTGAAGGGGTTCACTATTTTTGTCAAATGATACAGTAATGTTGCTCCAAAAAGCTTCTCAGTAATGAAGGAAGCAGTAATCAAGTTTTAATCTTGTTTCAAAGAGAACTTGACCCTATAGTGGCAGCGATCAAGGATGGAGATGAAAAAGCAGTATGCAACATGATGAAATCAGGAAAAAACCTTTCTAAACCTAATAAGGATGGCTGGATACCCCTCCACGAAGCTGCATACTACGGCCAAGTGGGTTGCCTGAGCCTGTTGCAAAAAGGTCAGTGAACTTAAAACTAATTAATTACAAAATGGAGAAGAAGAATATGAATAAACTAAAAGGCAGTATTAGCAGTATCCCAATCCTGGCCTGGGACTGTGTGTGAAACTTTTTTCCAACCTCTCCGACTGTATATTAATTTCATTTTCTCTTGGAAAATAGGTTTCCAAACTGAAGCCTTAAAAGTCAGGATATTTGGGAGAGAAACTGATATCAGGATAGATCCTGCCAAGCCATGGATTTCTCACACTAAAGCCCTGAAGCTGAGCTCTCTACTATTATGAGCTGCTCAGCTGCCAAAGCTGACAGGAATCACCTCACTTCCCACTGGCTGGAGATCCAACCCACCACCTCTTTGCTGGTGCTTGAAGGCAGTTAACTCTTGTAGTTTGTTTTCAAATTGCTGCTGAAGTTACTCAACAACTTTCTGCATCACTAGTAGCCATAGCTGAACATTTTAATCTAAACTGGTGACAGATTTAGATACTCAATCTGAATTATAGTAACTTTATAGTATATTCCTAACTTATATTGATCATGGAAAAGGAAAAGAAACAATAAAAACTTACTTGAAACTCCAAGGATTTTGGAAGGTGATGATGCTGTAGATACTTGTGCACTATATGCCGTAATGACTTTGGGCTCACCATTCCTCCACAGCCTACCCCAGCACCATCGACCAACGCACTCTCAATGAGGAGACAGCTCTCTACCTGGCCACCAGCCGGGGCAACCTGGACTGCCTGCTCACCCTGCTGCAGGCTGGGGCTGAGCCCGACATCTCCAACAAGGCCAGAGAAACGCCGCTCTACAAAGGTGTGTAGCTGCTTTTCCAGGGATGCTGAACTCTTCTGGCACCACCAAGGCAGAACTGCAGGATCACTTGTGATGAAGGGCAGAAACTCAGCAATTAGCTCCTGTTTTCTACTTCCCTGCAGTAGTCCTCTATCTCCTGTGTCTGACCTGCCGTGCCATGGCCTTTTTTCTTATCTGTAACAGAAACAGGATTAGCAGCTGCCCTGCAGGGTGCAAGCTTTGATGTGGTGCTGAGGGTGGGGTGTGAGAGGTTCAGTGGGGCCCTAAGCACAGGCTGTCTACGCAATGTCCCAAACTTACAAAAAGCCGAAGAGTACTGGAATATGTATGCTTTTCTAAACAGTAGGATCTAAGTAGATGTTCAATGTGGGAGTACAGTAACTGTAGACATGCCAGTGATTCATATACTGTGTGAGAGCAAAGCTGTGTCCTATGGCGAGGCATAACATTATAAACGATTCAGGGAGGTGGATAAAGTATTTAACGTGGACATATTACTTTGCTGCTAGTTGGAGAGAACACTTTCTTTCTTTAGCAGAATAGCAATAAATCCATGACATCACAAAGATTCATAGAAGGAGATGATCTCTCACACCTTCACATCAATCTGCCTTTGCTCCTGCCATGACAATTTTTAGCACTCTAAAACATTAAAAGCACATATTACGGTTAAAACACCAGTCTTCCCCCCAGCTTTGGATGCCTGTCATTAGAGCTGCTCAGTTTAAAATGCTTTTGGTTTAAAATTCTGGCTTTTAGTTGGCTAAAGGAAAGCTGTTCAGCTGTGCATTAAACACACAGTAGTGGTGGTAATAGTAGTGCTCACAGTAATAATAATAACAACAACAATGATATGAAAAAACCCTTTAGCCAGAGAAAAACTCTTAATAACAATGTGCTAGCATTGATGCAATATCTTCTAGTTTATCTTACAACAACAAAAACAAACAAACAAACAAAAAAAACAAATTAAAAAAAGTCTATCATAACAAAGTAGCCATCCCTCATATGGAAGCAAATTAAACTCTTCAGAGCTATAGATAGGTAATTACAGAAGCAGCTAATTACATAGTTGCTTTCAGTACATGAGTGACATCTGTTTATGGGAGAGGAAGTCATGGAGATATCCCAAGGGAAGGATCAAAACCAAAAGGTGGCACCTCTGTGAAAAAAAGACACTATTATTTCAAAGAAAAAAACCCAATTGCTATGAAATGTGCCAGCCTCTCTTCTGTACATTGTACAACAAATGCTAATTGGAGTTTGTAAATGTAGCTGCTTATCCTATGTACCTTTGGTTTGGGATCCCACCATAAAAGTGTGTGGGAAACCTGATGATTTGGGATTCAAAAAGCAATGGGACAAATTGGTAGAATAAAAATCAATGAAATGCTATTAATGATTAAGAACCTTTCTTTAGCTCAGGATGATCTTTAACTAAAAATTGTTTCAGGCAGAGAAAGTGCTACTGACTCACACAATTATTGTTTTCTAAGGATCCTTTACTGGGTCCTATTTGTTTGAGCTTTTTTTTTTTTCCTTGTCTATATAGAGCTTTATCTTACAGTCCAGGACAGTAAGATAAAGGGTCAGTTTGCACAGAATTTGGAAAGAAAGTGTTCATGTCATATGATTTATGTAACATATTTGTTCTTCGTAAATTATTTCCTCCACATTTGTCACCTCACTTGGTCACTGTGGTGTCCAGTTGGTACAAATGTGCTGGGCTGGATTCCACCCAGTACCAGGCTTGGCACAACCCTTGCACAGGACACTTAGCTCCCACCACCTCCCAGCTGAAGATTGTTTTCACTATCACATCCTTTAGGAGTCCCAGACAATGTTTTTGGCAGCAGCCTTGGCCCTCGTGCCTGAATGGGTCTTTAGTCTTACTATGGCTTACTGGTGTTACACTGCCTTAGGCTACATGAAATGAATATACAACACCCAGAATATTTTCAAAAGCCTGTCCTACTCTCTTCCCATTTTTCCAAAACAAACAGCCTGTGAGCGTAAGAATGCGGAAGCCGCAAGACTCCTGGTACAGTACAATGCGGATACCAACCATCGTTGTAATCGAGGATGGACTGCTCTCCATGAGGCTGTCTCCCGAAATGACCTGGAGATTATTGATATTCTTGTGAAAGGGGGTGCCAAGATTGAGTCGGCAAACGCCTACGGGATCACTTCTTTATTTGTGGCAGCTGAGAGTGGGCAGCTGGAAGCCTTGAGATACCTTGCAAAATGTGGTGAGTACAACCGTGCCATTACATGCCTTTATTCATTTAATTCTTAATAATTAGAAGTTTCCAGTAGCTCTCCCTGGCAAAATTTTTATGTCTCTGGAGGCAAGACCTAGCCTGCAGAGGCACTAAAACCCCGTTGTTCCAGATGGTGGAATTGGGTAGGGTCTTTCAGAGAGCATGATCTAGACACGTACACTTCTTCAGCATTCATTCATGGTCACCTACTCTGGGAAGTAATATGGTGCTGTCTAACTGCATTTCCTGAGCTTTCTAAACTCACACTGCTGAAACATGTATCCCAAAATCCAATTGGTCATAAAAGACAGATGTAAGTGGTAATAGATGGCAGAAGTTGAACTTTAGCCTACCCCATCTGCTCATGAACATGTGCAGTGATGGGCAATGTTAGCTGTTCTCCTCTTAATGTATTCTGCTGAAAATAGATAGAGTACTATTGTAGAGTTAATGGGTCTACATCAAGTAGAAGCAGACTAGCTCTCCCTATGTGTAAATTTTTAGCCATATAAAGAGTGAATTTTAATCTAGCTTATACTAAGCATACCTTTTAATGCTCCACTTGTGTGAAACAGCTTTACACTAAGCACAGCATACTTTAATATTATTCCAGGCGTATTTTATTTTCACAGTGGGCTAACATCTTCAATGTAGGTAAGATCTGGGTCCTGCACTTGTGAAACAAGAGCTTAACACAGATGAAATAAAACTTCTGAAACAGTTAGTATGGCTAAGATATGAGTTGGGGAACAAAAAATGTGTTCTGCTGCCCAGCTAGTCTTGTCAAAAAAATTTTACATGACCAGTTAGTCCATCATGCTGCCTACAATGTTAGAAACTAAGCCAGAATGTGATTTGTGTTCCAAACTAGATAGATATGAGGATTTCCTTGAAGTTCAATTTTGAGAAAAATATGCAGGAGAAATTCCAATAAAACTGTCCAGTTGTATCAAGCCTGAAAAGGTCCTCTGAAAATCCCAGGAATGATATCATTCATTGTTTATGACGAGCAATGTTCATCATAAAAAGGGCTTCTTTCTCATTAAGAACATAGTCCCTCATTATGTTTTGTCACTGCAGTTCTCCTGATGTTTCCAGCTACAGCACCTTCAAAGGGCCAAACACAACACAGATGTTTCAGCTTAGGGTGAGAACACAGGGAAATGTTTCATGATCAAACATGATTTCTTTGTTAGAGTTTAGAAGCAAAACTCCAGTGAAATGTCATTCCCATTTAGGATACACATAGAGCAACCTGCCTGAGAACACCATGGTACAGTATATGACAGTCAAAACCCAGGCTTTTGGGCCTTGAATATCTATAACAGAAAAGGCTAGATTCCAAATTGTTCATGGCAAAAAAGTATTGTCTTGATTTATACTTGCATGTTGTTTATTAAGCCAAGCACACATTAGAGCTCAAGAAAGAAAAATTCCCACATGATCTAGTAGCTCATTAATAATTTTTTTTTTTTTTGGTAAAACTATCTGGAGCCAAACTTCAGCTCTCGTGAAGAGATATGATCTCAGGTGCTGAGTTTTGAAATGCAATATTCATCAATTAAGACATGGCCAAATAAAGCCTGTTTAGAATTTTTGCTTGGCATTATGCAGATGTCTTTTTAGAGACTATTGTTTTAGCCTGGATATGTGCTAAAACTAAAACATACTATAAATTCTATAAATATAGTGTGAATATATAGAGTATGAATGATACGTATAAACATATATCATAAATACATATCCATAGAATTTTGGAAAGCACCTATTGAGATCATCTAGTCCAAACTCCTGATCAGGAATAGCGTATATACATAGTGAAAACATATAAATATTAGTGGAATTATTGTGTTTGAAGGAAAGGCCATGCTATATAAAGAACAGCCCATTTTAAAGTTTTTTTTCCTTTGAGCTATAGCTGAATGGAGTCTGGATTCATGATTGGGACCTAATGGTTGCTACCCATGACAAACTCTCCCTCATAAAATAACCATCATTTTGTATTTCCAGTGTTATGGAGATGTAGTGTTCATTCAAAGTATGTTCCTTCCATTTGATTTTAACCTTTTGGAGCTAAAAAATTTTCTTCCTTCCTAGGTGCTGATATAAATACTCAAGCCAGTGATAATGCCACTGCCCTTTATGAAGCCTGTAAAAATGGACATGTACATATTGTGGAGTTTCTTTTGTCCCAAGGAGCAGATGCTAACAAAGCCAATAAGGATGGCCTGTTACCTCTTCACATAGCAGCCAAAAAAGGGATTTGCGAGTAAGTTTTATTTAATTTTATAGTTTCATCTTTTAGACAAGAATCTAACATTCTTATGAAAAGGAGAATGTAATGTTTCAGATCTAATTCTTGGCATTATGAGCAAGGGAGCTACTAGTTGAGGATGGGGTTTTCTGCTTGCAGAGCTTGGGCCAGAAATTATACACTGAAGAGTGTGTTTGCAGGGTGGGATGGGATGGGGTGAGCAGGAATGAAGGGTGAAAGATTTCTTTAACTTTACTAAGATATCACCTATTGCAGCTAAATAACATCATGTATCTTGGAAGTGGATTAAACTGAGATCCTCAAAATATTCTTGAGATGAAATTAAAAAAGTATTGGTGGGGAGTGTTAGTCAATAGTTTTTGCAGCATAGTTTCCTACATGAGTCCATTGTGATTCTTCTGCACAAGCAGAAGATGTTGGATTCATCTCTGCTATGTTCAGGTTTATTGACAATAATTCAGTTGCTGACAGCAGGAAGTGGTTAAGTGAATCTCTAGGGCATTAGTGAGATTGTTGCTAGAATATGGTGTTCAGTTCTGGTATCCTCCCTTTCAGAAACCTTTCAGGAAATTGGAATGGCTTCAGAAAAGAAGGACAAGAATTGCTCATGGTCTGGAAAATAGATTTTATTACTGAGTGATTAAATAACTCTTAATTATAGCAGACAAATGCATAAAAAGACCCTGTGGTTTCTGTCTCAAATGAAATGTGTTTGGGACAGAGCTGAGCATATTCTTTAAAACAGTGAGAATAGTAACTAATGGAAAAAATAACCAGGAAGCAGGTAGATTTTTACAGTCCTCTGAAATAGAGATGTTTCTGGGAAAGGGACAAACTCTACAGTCTGTGATAAAGTATATCAATATAGAAGATGCTGTCTAGGATGGGATTGTTGCACTGTCATGTAAATAGCGTTTACCTGGCTCTTTCAAAATCTGGGACATTGCAGCATGCTTCTGAGCCTGGACTCCATAGCATGTACTTCTTATCCTACAGCAAGTTTTAGTTTCCGTCTTTAACCCCTTGCTGCTGGAAGGGTGAGCGACCCACAGCTAATTTTGCAAAACACGGTCACATCTTGCAGTGACAAACCCCTTTTCTAACTGTAGAGGACTCCTCTGATTATTGCAGTTTCTATCAAAATACTTCTAGGAATAGGCAAATGAGAGAACAGGCAAATGAGAGAGTCTATCCAACTGCAACGACTGTTTCTGGACAATACAGCTATCTTTGCAGAGAACTGCTAGAGTGGATTCTTACATATTTCACAGTCTCTAAGGAATAAAAGCTTTTGACATCATTACACCTTCCCATAAAGTTTTTCATCCTAGTGTTTAGGTTTGCTTGGGACTGTCAATTAAGCTTGTCCAAACACTTTGTTAGACTTGAGGATATTAATTTTCTGTAGTTGGAGTAGGCCTACTTCCCTGTGCAAGCTGTGTATTCTAGAGGGAAGCTCAATGTCGATTTATGTAACAGGTTTATACACTTACAGCATGTTCATGGATACCCCACACAGATTAATGCAGGCATGACTCAAAATTTTCTCCAGGGTTTGATTTACAAAGACATTTCCTTGCACCAGAGACAGAACCCAGCTCCAGTTTTGAAAAAGTTTATCTGAAAGTACAGTAAGTTGATCTGTATCCAGTTTTTATATAAAGTCCAGCCCAGCTCTCTTAATATTTTCCTCCCCTCAGTAGTCCCACACTATGACCTGAAAAGAAATTTACATGGAAACTCTGCAACGTGATTATTATGAATACAATATATTATATTTTATATATATATAATATATATAATAAATTATAAAAACAAGGGTTTGATTCAGGTCTTATGTCTGTTATTCCTGACAACCAGCAGCATAAATGAGACCAGAATTTAGGCCAAACTCTGTGTTTCACTTGTAAAAGACTGAACAGAAATTTTTATGCACAACTGCTGCAAACTAAGTGCAAGAGAAAGACAAAAGAAAGAGATATTCTCTTATAAATATTTATCTAAATGACAAAGCTTTAGCCCAATTGGCTGATCATTCTTAATTCCTTTGGTATTCAGTAAAATAACACCCTTCACGGTGACCTCTGTATTCCTGCAGATTTAGTACGTAATTCTGCAGGAATTCCACACTTCAACTTTTTGCCAGAGCACGAAGGCTCCTTACCATCAAAAAGCAAAGAATGTGGTCCCAGGGCTCAACTGTCAACTCTTGTTGCTTGGTGTTTGTTTATTTTAAATGACACCTTGTCAATACTGACCAGAAATTCATAAGGGTCATCTCATGAGCTGTAGAACAGTTGCAAGCAGTCATTTAACTCTTTCCCCCTCAGAACTGAGATGCTGAGAAGGAAAGACTTTTTGAAATGTGAGCAGATTTATTAAGTAAATAGAAATCAGTAAACTCTTGGCACACTCCTACTAAGGATGCTCTGCCTCCTGCTCCATTTAATTTCTAATAAATAGAAATCACAGAAGCAGGTGTCGGGACTAAGGAGAAACTTGGCACCATTTCAAAATGGTACATGAAGCTCAGCCCTGTGACAGACATGGCCTGTAGTCTGACTTCTCTGGTCTTGGCTGCCTTCATTTGAGCTGCATTCTCCCTATAGAGGGACAGGAAAGGCTGCTGAGATAGAGGCATCATATTACTGAACCAATCCACTTTGAAGGGCAAGAAAGAGAGACAAGTTTGAGCTGCACAATGAAATTGACACAAATTTGATGTTTCCTGCTTATCATACCAAAACAAATGTGGAGTACAGGGACTGTACTGACCTCTAGAACACTTCAGCATTTGGATGTGGAGCCTGAGTGTGCACTCCTGCAGGGAGGTTCAGGTTCCCCTTGAAGACTGAAATGATGCAGTGCCTCTTTAACTTAGATGTGAAGAGCTGGCTGAAGCACATACGCTGGAGGGAAAGAACAAAACAGACCCTTAAATCTTCAAAACATTTGATCATAGGATGACTAATGCTGGTACTTGGCATGGTGTCCTCGCAGTGCTCTGTGCCCTTTTTGTTATTAGGCTCTTACAGAACATTTGCTGATGGTGGGAAGTTGCCAACTCACCAGCACCCAAACCTCCTGCTCCCTGGCGAGTGTCACAGTGCTGGAAAACTAGTGCAGCTGCTTAGAGAAAAAAAAGTGCTTAATTTCCCAAGATATTTACATAATTTGAAAAACATTTTTGTTTAAAAATGAGATTTAGAAGTAACTTGGAGACATCAATAGTCCATCATGTAAATAGGAACATAATCCTGTAAAATGCAATGCATCTTCAACTCTTATTTCAGCTACCGGGAGCGTTGGAGGCTCAATCTTTCACAGGATCATTTCACAGGATCCCCAGATTGTCACAAATAAAGGTTTTACTGAGACTGGCACTTATATTTGGCTTAGTTCATTATGTAAATATATGTTTGAGGGCGCAGTGTTGGGACTAGCCATTGCAGTCAAGCTGAAGATACACAGCATTTTAAAGGAGACTTTCTGCATGGTAGGAAACTGAGCTTTGCATGTTTGTGTGTTACCAAAGCTGTTGGCTGCAAGATAGAGGAATCTGCATGGGAGAAAAAAAAAAGAAGGTGTGCTTGGCTTGCTGAACTCCCACAAGTTCCTATTTAGATACCCCTCTCTTCACAGACATTATGTAGGAAGCATGGTCATCTCTGGAAACTCAGGCAGACTCACATTGGATGGTCCCTAGTCTCTGTCTGAAAGTACTAAAAGGTGACTTATCTGTATCTACACAATCAACCTAGTGCCTTGGCTAAACCACCCAACTTTATAGCAGGAAATGAAGATTTAACCTATTGGGTTGGTCATGCAGCTCCAATGACACCTGTGCAGACATAAAAATGATCACAGATTTGCAACTGCAAGGCTCCTATACATCATATATTTGAAATTCACATTACATAATGAGAGCAGCTTGATTTATGTTGTTGTGTTTAAGGCCACATCATGTGTTCCAATAGCAATCCCTCACTACTGGGGTTTAGGACTTGGCTGTACATTTTTTCTCCCTTGGCTAAAACATGGAAACCAGCCTGGAGAATATTTTTATTTCTTTTTCTCCCCTTTACTAATTATCTTTTTGGCTCCCCATGATCTGGGACGGACATTGACAGCCCCATGGATTTGCCACAGCCAAAAGCCACACAGTGAGAGCCTCCAGGATGGGGATCAATGCAGGGCAATAACTGACTTGTAAAATCTGCCAGGGGAGGTCTGGGAACCAAATATGTATTTTAACCTATGCCTTTTGCTGTGGCTGTGACCCACAACACCTGCCAGCGCTTCATGTTGGCACCCTTCTCTGCTGAGCAATAAAGCAATCCCTACAAAGGTGAGGAGATACAGCCTTTCTGCTGGCACCTCAGGCTGGGGGGTGTCTGCCTTTTCCTCCAGTCCTACCCACAGCATGGTGATGAAGGTGCAGGACATCTGGTAGATCCTGGCTGGTTGTCTGCCACTTGGGCTGTGGAACCTAAGAGAAGTTACAAGAGGGTAGGCGAGTGCCAGCATGTCAGCCCTGTAGCTGCCATTACATCACAGAAACTGGGTGGTAATCAAAAAAAATAGTGTTCCTCCATGAGAGAGGGGGTCATACAACTCACATTTTTGGCAAGGTAGGAGCAGAGGGAGTTGTTGATAGGTTTAAAGTTTACACCCCGGTTTCTCTCAGAGTTGTTCCTGTACCCAAGTACTCTGTCTTACGGTTGCAGCCATAAAGCTACAATTTGCTGTAGGCTTGTAAATCCCCCAGAGCTCACTGCTATTCACTGACTCTCCTGCTGGCAGGATTGTCTCCATGCTGATCCCTGTGACCAGCCGCACCCGCGTCAAACGTAGTGGCATCAGCCCCCTGCACTTGGCGGCCGAACGGAACAACGATGACATCTTGGAAGAGCTGATAGATGCTGGCTACGAGGTCAACAGTGCCCTCTCCAATGAACGGTCCTGCCTTTATGAGGACAGACGCACCACCCCCCTCTATTTTGCAGTTTTTAACAACAATATCTACGCCACAGAGCTCCTGCTGCAAGCCGGAGCCAACCCCAATATTGACCTCATCAACCCATTACTCATCTCCATCCGTCATGGCTGCATGAAGACCATGAAACTGCTCCTTGACCATGGAGCAAACATTGATGCCTATATATCAAGTCATCCCACCACATTTCCAGCTACCATCATGTTTTCAATGAAGTACCTCTCCGTGCTGAAGTATCTCCTGGATCTGGGCTGCGATGCAAGTTCCTGTTTCGAGTGTCAGTATGGGAACGGCCCCCATCCTGCATTAAATTACAGACGGGAAAGACTTAATGATCCTCAGCTGACTAAGGAGCCAACCATAGTACAGGTAAGCACTGCCCAGTCTACCTGTAGGACTTCTGAGGACAGCTCCTACCCATAGATCTTGAGAAATTTAGTGTATTTTTTCTCACAACTTTCTGATTAGAGAAGTTGCCAATATCTCCACTTTATTTACAGAAAAAAGGCTCAATAAGTGTCTGTGAATGTTCCAAGTTCATGTTCAATGACAGCAGGAAGGTAGGCAACAGCCTCTGTGGCACCAGCTTGAATTTACAGTGAATTATAGCCATCTTGACAGCCTTACTGACAGTTCTATAACATTCTTTTCCTCTGGGCCTTCCTCTGGTACAGGAGTGAGGCATATTTTCCTGACAGATGTATGGGTGGTTGCATACAGATAGTAGAAACCTGCTTTTTTTATATGTCCTGTAAGACTGTTTTGTCTGATACAGAATTTTATCTACTGTTTACATTAAAATTGTCTAGAGCTTCACTTTATGAAGGTAAACTAGTGAATGTAAATATTTGCACCTCTAAGTTTACTGGCTAAGCAATCACAGAGAGAGAGCACAAATTATTACATTAGCTATATGACTGTGAATTATAGTTGAAGTTTTCACAAGAGGTTAGGAGATTTAGATCCATGATTTCATATTTTCAAAGACAGATTTTGCATATGCACATTTCATACATGTATCTTTGAGGTACTTTCCAAAGTGTAGCTTGCTCAGCTTCCATTGGGCTGGGATTGGACTCTCAGTACCTTAATGGACTTTGCAGAATCTCAGATTACTTTTTTTTTCTGATTTCTGTATGCTCTCTCCTTCCAATATATCTCAAATGAAGTCTGACCATCCAATCAAAATTTGCTATCCTTCAACATGCTACACAAAAAAGAAATTTCAACACAGCAGTCTTTCTATTTTGCAAAGAATCAGGGAAGAAATAAATCAACTTCTATCTAGTTTAAGTGTAGTTTTGAGGGATTCAGAAGAATCTCAAAGACATGGTTACCAATAAATGTTCTTTAGTGGCAGAAAGAATAAAGGAAAATATTAAAAGATCTTAGGAAATCTTTATCTTATTATCAGTCCTGTCTTCCAAAAGACTTTATCTCCAGTAAAACATCTGGAGAAAAAAACAAACACACAAAAAAATCTTATAATGAGGATGATAAGAGTCCATCACAATAATCTTTTATCCCAAACAGAGCTGACTTTTCCCTGAGAATGTTTGCCACAGCAAAATTCTTCCAGGATTCCACTTATTTTGTCAAAGAAAAATTAATAGAATGTATCAACTCTAGTCCTTGTTTCATGATATGGTAGCAGGTAGAGTGAACAGAGAGATGGAATTCCAGGGCAGGGAGAGATGGTTTGTCTGTAGCCCTCTATGATATTCTAGCCACTCAAAACCCGTTCCCTCTGGATCTCACCTAAAACTATCGCCTAACAAAATATTAGGTCACTCACAGTCATCTCCTCAAAGGTCAGAGTACATGAGGTAGAGGTAGCAAAAGCTGTACAAAATTTTATCTGTGCCTAGAGAGAGAGAGCAGTAAGGGACAAATGCATACACAAAAAAAAGCAATTCTTTCCCTCTAATACTGTTTTTAAATTGCTTTTACTGCTAGTATTTTGGTTAATAAAAGTAAGGCATGTGTGGTGTAACTTCAAGATATATAGTTATGCTAGGGTTTGTATTCTGAAATACAGAGAATCTTATGAAACTGTAGCCTTCTCCACACAAAGGTCGTGCATTTTCTTTTTTCTTGTGTAAGATTACGTAAGGGTAATAAATCTGAATGATTAGTCTTTAAAAGACTATGAGCTACTGTAAGTGGATTTGGAAAATGCATAACTATAAATCCTTACTGTCGCCACTAAATTAATGTGTCCTGGAGAAAGTGAATGCAGAAAAATGGTTGCTGCCTTCCTCTACGTTTCCGGAATTGCTGTCAAACCCATGAAGGTGGGGAGAGCAGTATCGTACTGCCGCAAGAGGGCATTCAGGTTTCTGCTGAGGACAAAGGCTCACAGCCACTTTGTCCCTGAGTCAATCCCATTGCCTGCAGTTGCAGGTTTGCATTATTTTCCTGCATTTTGTTCTGTTTATTTTCCTGCAATGTCTTTTGAAACATGTTTATTCCAGAAAATGTTTTTGTAGATTGAGCTTGTGAATAGGGAAGACAGAAAGAGGCAGGCAAGGTCTCTGGGAGAGACAAGAACAGAGCAAATAAGATCCAGTGTTTTATTGCTCTACATATATCTTCATTTAAACTGATAAAGAAGTTGCTGCATGGAGGTGATAGTGCAGATCCCCAGCTGGCACATCCTATGGATAACTGCATGGCAGTGGCATATGCACTGGAAAGTGACAGCCAGCTATACTAACTGAACTTCCTATAAGCAGTCCAGGTAGGAAACTGTGGGTTGTCCACTGCAATCCTGCAGACATCACTGTATCTAGTTCTTCTGGGAAACAATACACAGTAATGTTCAGTGAAAAATAAGAGAAGAGTAGTAAACACCTCTGTGAATGCTTTTACCCTGAGTAAAATAGCCTTTTCTGCAGCTTTATTCCTTACTAGGTAAGATAATATAATTTTATTTCTGAATAAGAGTATCCACACAACAGTTTAATGCATTTTGAGTTAGGACTCATGGATGTATAATCAAATTTGATCTAGTTACAGAAGCTTAGACTGAAAGAGGTTTAAGCTGGTGTGTTTTCTTTCCCATTTAGTGTGAGCTTGGAGGGTGTTTGCATACAGTTTCAGTGACTAAGCTGATGGATGGTGCTTAAGCCACCATCATTCAATTGGATTCAGCTTTGTGCCTGAATTCTTACTCACACAGCATGATTTAATTCATGTTAAACTTCCTGGCTGTTCACATGGACATACGTCCACAGATATCTTCATCAGATGCAGAACACTAGAAGAGACAGATGAGGCTGACTGATATACATATTTAGATTAAAGTGAGATGAAAAGTCACCACTTTTTTGAAATGAGACTGCCTGAAGTCAGGTCCTTAAGTCTATTCTGCAGTATCTCCATAAGCAGCCCACCATGCAATGGCTCAGTATTCTGCAGCTCGCACTGTGGGCAACAGAAAATTTGCCTGATCCAGGACTGAGTAAGGAAGATGCCTCTCTATTAGGCCCAGGATAGTTCTCTCATAAGTGAGTAAAACTGCCTGGGATTCATCTATGTAGAGACTTCTTCCATTCTCCCAACTTGTTTCTAGTAAGGTGTTTGGTCCCCAAAAGCTGCAGACACTAGTGGGTTCACAAGAAGCAGGAGGTGCTGTGCTCTGCTGAATCTGCCTCTTTCCCTAAGCCTCCTTTTGCACGGTAGCACCACAGAGCCCCTCCCAAGAAGGGAAAGGGACCCAGAATGCTTGGTCATAGTGCCCTGGACTGCATGGACCTTTCAGCAGCCCCTCACTGACTTGGGGCAATTTTCCCCTGCCCTCACACTTCTGTGGAAGTAGGACCTTTGGACTTGTAAACAATTCATCATTCTTCCATGCTCCAGAGCTAGGACTTCACCAGGGATTTGTGTCATCCTGGGATTGTAAAGATGGGGTTCTAATCTCAGTTGTCAAAGAATAGGCTTTTAAGTTTTCTGAAGGGAAACTGGTGATTTCCCTCACAGCTGGTAGAAGGGTGGGACCATTGAAGTTGTCAGGGCCATTGTTATTGTTGCTGTTTCCACAAGTGCATTCATTGACTGTAGCCAATCTGTTTTTCCTTGAAGTTTTGTGAAATGGTGTCTACTCCAGAGATAAGTCGCTGGGCTGGGCCAATCATTGATGTTCTCCTGGATTATGTGGGTAATGTGCAGCTCTGTTCCCGGCTCAAGGAGCATATTGACAGCTATGAGGACTGGGCTGTCATTAAAGAAAAAGCAGGTATGGTCACCCAGGAGAGAATCTGACACAACTAGTCCCATTGTTAGATTCAAAACCTCAGTCACCATCACCTAAGTATTCATCCCATAAAATGGAAAGGATTTCCTTACTGTAACTGAATTATACTTTGGACTGGGTATTAGGCACTAGAAATTTCTGAGATGTCATTGACTGTGATGTGAAACATACACCAGCCATGGATTTGACTCACTGGGAATGAGCATTGTGATGCAGAAAGGCCCATTTGGCTGTACCTGGTGTGCAGTCAGGTCAGGACAGGCGGGCAGTGTGACAATCCCCACAGCACCCTTATGACCAGAGGCCTTTAAAGTCTTTATTTGTATTGTGCTCTCCTAAATATCCTTTCCCTCAGGATACAAAGTCTTTCATAGACAGTATTAGAATTAGGTTTCTGGTATCAAGGTAAATTTGGTACCTACTGCATTTTTTTTCAGTGGGAAGGCTGAATACTTTGAAGTGGCTTATACAGATCCTCCTAGAAAGCCCATCTCTAAGGCTGAGATGGGTACAACACCCTACTTTCCAACCCCACTTTCTTCCCTGTGTCATGTCCCAGAAAGATGATCTTCTATCAGTCTCAGATGCCTTATCCCTTCATTACAGAGAACCACCCCTTTTTATATTCCTTCTCCCATTTTCCTCTTCACACTGTTCTGGCCAAGCTGAGCTGTCCATTTGAAGTTAAAACTGTTCTGCTCATGCTTCTAACTCGCCTGTCTTTCAGAACCTCCGCGACCTCTTTCCCATCTTTGCCGCATCAAGGTACGAAGCCTGGTTGGAAGAAACCGCATTAAGCTTCTTGACACCTTGCCTCTCCCAGACAGACTGATCCGATACTTACAGCACGATTACAGACAGTGACCCCAGGCACGATGGATATGCAGTGGCTTCCCGGCATGGCACCCAGCATCACCAGCATGGCAAGGGCCCACAGCGGGGAGGAATTGCTGCTGGCTTGGTCAAGCACCCTCCAATGACTAATCTAAGAGAAATATGCTTTTGAAGCGTGAGTGAGAAGAAAATGGAGGAGACAGAGCTAAAGATAGGACTGTTGTTAGGTTTTTCAAGAGCAAACACATGATTCACCTCTGCGCTTGTTCTGCAAAGAACAAGAAATGAAAGCTGACACTGACAAATGAGTCGTACCAATATTCGGAGAGGAATACAAAGGTATCCAGGGGTTGTGGTGAAGCTTAACATCCTTGCTGTGATGACAATTAAGAAATTGTTGAGAGTCAACATATTTGGGAAGACAATCACATTTCCTTCACTGACTAAGATTTTTATTGTATTTTCTATTTTATTGTTTGGATTTCTGCTAAGTGTGCGGGTTGCTAATTCTCTGATACTTTTACACCACCTTGCTAACACTTTTACTTTCTTTTTTTGTATCTTTCTTATTGAGTAGAGTACTTGATTTCTGAACATTCAAATCTCAGATTTCTTCAACAGACTAAAATCCAGAAATGATGAATCCTTTAAAAATCAAGGAAAGGTTTATTTAAGGAGGAAGTAAGAACTGTATTTGCACATAGTGAATGGAGTTCATTCTGTATTACATTCGCAATATCATTCTGCTTTCTGTCATTCTGAGAGAATTTCTTAGACTGGGGATTTGAAAGTAAATCTGAGCTCTTTTTTTTTCTTTTCTTGGTGTAAATTAGAAGTAGCTGCACTGTAAACAGTAGGTTTACACTGTCATGAATCTGGTGTCAGAACAAAACAAAGCCCTAGAGGACAGGGAACAGACTGGTGTGAAGGAGAGAGGCAACACTATTACACCAACTTAATCTGTTCCTCCCCTAGAAGATCTTATCTCTAAAAAACCCAGCCTTTCCTAACTCCTTGGACCTCTGTGGCTATAGCAATACTATCAATGGAAGAAAGAGAAATTATTTCAAAATCATGAAAGTCAGACTTCAAAATTTATGAAAATGAATATCCAGAATTAGGCTTCCAAATCCTTATTCAGGTGCCTAAACAATGTCAAGTTGCTTGCACCAGGTGTAGTTCCACTGAAGCCAGGGGGATCACATTTAGTGTCGTATATTAGTGAGGCAGACTAAAAACCTTGGGATTTAGCCCTGAATTTTCTGACTTTGGAAGTCTGAAATATCTATTAGCTCCCTTTGAAACTGATAAAAGTTATTATCTTAGCTTCTTTGAAAATTAGGTCACCTATTTACAGCTCAGATCCTCAACTGATTTATGGCAGCTTAACAAGTTACCATCTATCTGCTGAACAACTATAATTGTCCGTGAAATTCTTTTATTGAAGTTTTTAACAAGTCACATTCCCTCACAGCTGGGGAGGCCAAGGAGCCCATGAGTGGTTACTGGCAGTGACTACGGCTCAGCTGACAGGTGTGACTTGCTGAACTGCTTTGATGAGTGCTTCATTCCTGAATAGGCACCTAAGAAAGTATGAAAGAACTGAAATTTGGAATGACGCCTATGCAGATCTTATGCTAGAAGCACACTCATTCTTTCCTTAGGTGATAAAGGAGCTGTGCACCATGGTCTGCCTGGAGTCCCCCCCAGACAAATGGCAGATCTGGTTTTATTTGTTGGTCTACATACCATGCATGGAATCAGATAGAAATGTAAGTAGGGAAAATGCATTGCACTGACTTTTATTTGTGTGGAGTTTTATACCTTAACACAGGACTAAAGTGTGTTGCACACATACAGGTCTGTCTGGGCACACAAGTTCAGATTTTGTGATGACTTTGTGCGAAATGTGCTCAGCACTTGTGGGACAGGATGGGAGCAGAACTAAATTGGTTACAGCTACAACATTCTGTCACAGCTGTCCCCTACCTGAATGCGAAAGTTGAACAACCCACAGTGTTTCAATTCACACTGAACAATGATCTTCTTGCAAAGCTTTGGAAAGTCAGGTGAGATTCCTCCACTGGTGATGTTTCATCCAGTGACTTCCTTTACCGTCAGTTTAGGATCTACCTCCTTGTCTCCTCCAGTGTGAACAGGGAATTTCATCAGGTTAGAAAAATATTGGGTGGAGAGAAAAGGATGGGGTACAGGAAATCTCTAGACCAGTTTTGCCAGTGAAGGCCCTGTATTGGTAAGCAGTACTTTGAGAGACAGAAAATCACCTGTGGAGTTCATCCATCTCTCACTTTCTGGGGCTGAACAGCGAAGGCCTGGGTCCTACTTACGTTGATATAAATCAGAAGAAAAGTCCTTGAAATTAAATAAGTGTAACGAAGCAGAGTTGTAGAGGGTGATGGATACAAACACAGCTTGCTGGAGACCACTTTAGTGTTTGTTTGGTGTGCGGTGACAGCACTGGAGACCCTGGCTGATAGAAAGGATTCACAATCACCAACTGCATGTATAACCAGAGAAGTGGGATTTCATAAGCTACCCCAAAATGGGAATTTCCCCTGAGCCAACATTGTTGTGTCCACAACAGTCTAGCAAGTTGCAATTTCTTTTTATGTCCTTGGAGAAGTTGAAACTAGGTTTGAATGGCACAAATATAGAAAGCCCATTTTTCTTTCAACCAAGAGCCCTTTATTTCTATTGGGAGACCCAAGTCCTGGTTTGCTGTCAACCACCTGTCCTGAGCAGGAGTCACTAAGCTGGAGAACACTGGTCTGATGGGAATATAACACAATTGTGAGAAGGATAAGTGCACACTGTGCACAGAAACTGAGGTGAGAAGAGTCTATTAGAGGGGCAATCTGGTAATTACAATGTTATTGAGTCCTTTCTGCTTGATCGTTACAGCAAAACTTCACATACTCAGTTTACAATTTTTTGCACTGAAATGGAGCCTGCTACCTCTCTGCTCCAGTCACTGACATACTATTTTGTGCAAAATACTGAATCTGCACAAATTCAATGTGCCTTTAATGCATCTGCTTAGAAGTTACTGTGAAAAGAAAAATAGCCCCAAACCCAACCAAACCAGGCTTTATAAGCAGATCAGTAGTTCTAGTGCAAAGTAAAGTGGCTTGTTTTTACTGAGTGTGATAAATATTCTCCTTCCAAGACAATGAATTTATGTGAAATGTTCTAGGAATATTTCACGACCAGGTTACTGTACTTTTTTTACTGCAAAATGTGCAATTCACTTGATGTTCTTGTGCACTTTTTTGATTTTTTTTTAATTTCATTTTGTATGAAAGCTTTTTCATTTACCTCTCCCTTCCCATTATTTATAAAAGCTATTGTGGTTTTAAAAGTTTAAATTTGCATTGTTTTTGTAAATAGCAGCTCTCAAATGTTATGTTTCCATCTTTCAAACAAAGTATGAATAAACAAGTAGATTCTGAAGAGCTATCAGCTGTCCTGAATAACAACAGCCAAACACAAAAATATCCAGGAAAATTCTGATTCAATCCCAGCTTGAACAATTAATAATTCTGATTTTAATCTCAGGGATAAGAGAACAGTACATATTACTAAAGAGGAGACAGAGTTGCTATTCTTTGCAAACCTTTCAGAAAGTCTCACACATCCCCATTCAGTGATTTTGAATATACTTAACAATTGTCTTCTGTTCATTTATGTTTTACTTCACTGCTGCTCCAGTTCAAAGCCTCAGCAAGGGCCATCCATGTCACAAAGGATTTTAAAAAGTAACATTAGTTTAAATCTGAGAGTAAGAGCATAAATATCTGAGTCAGAAGTCATTTAGAATGATCTGGTTCGATCCTTTAAAAAATGCTATTCTACTACATGGAAAATGTGCAGCAATATACATTCAAATAAGAAAGACTTTAAAAGAAAAAAAAAAAGAAAACAAAGAATTTAACATTCAAAAAAGAGAAACTTGATTTTAACTCTCTTCTTTCTCTGGATTTCTCCAGAAATAAAATTTATACAGAGGCTATCCACTTTGCCAAGTATTTTAATTTTGATAGAAATGCATATTCTGGTGTGATACACAGCACTGTGAAATTTCCCTTCTGAATTCAAGCAGGAACACTTGTGCACAGCAATCTCTGCAATACCTGTAGTTCATTCCATGACCTGCTCTGCTCACCCAGACCAACACCAAGGAGGCTGCTCTGCACTGACAGCACTGAGACAGAGTTCAGCATCTGGCTTCATCTGGATTACAACAGTGACCCAGAGCTATTGATGGACCCCTATTTCCATGTAAAAAATTCCTTGCCTACAGCTCTGTAAATTAAAAGCCATTGCTCTCCAATTAACTTCAATGGGGGTACTGCCTCCGGTTTCTGTTAGTGTCCTTGGGGAGACGGACAGCTTCCTCAAGGATTTTTTTCCAAAAAGGGAAAGGCATTTAAGTATGTTCCTATCTTCACTTCTGGATCAAGAGCTAACTTGATGTCTTTAACCCCTAGATCAGCTCTTTACCACCTCACACCTTGCATGTAGTTGCAGGTATGTGCTATCAAAGATAGCTCCTGCTCTCTTCCTAAAGGAATAGTTTATGCAGGATTGATACATATATTAAGTGCTGGTAGCAAGGAGAAAGCAATGAAAGCCATCTCCAGTTCTACTTTTGTCTTGCTCTACTAACACATTACAGATGTTGTTTCCATAAAAGTGAACATTGTTGGGATATGTGAAGTATGGGGAAAGAACTAAATACTTTAGCCTGTGAGTAGTTCGTATTCTAACGAAAGTTGCAACCTGGTTATACAACACCAAGGCCCATCAGAAGATCCAAAATGGCACTCTACAGTTGCCTCAGATGATAATTTTTTCATGACTGCAATGTGCTTGAAAGAAATGTTGCCTGTTTTTTAACCCTTGCAGAGATACCAGGAGTCATAAAGAGCTTCACTAGTCAGAGACCAAACCAATCAAGGCCACTTTTTATTGAACCTGGGTGAAGTTCCCATTAGCTCCAACAACAGTACAGGTTCAGGCCTCAGGATATCACAGGTGTCCATTCTCTGGCCCTTTTACCCCTCAAAATATTCTTCTTTTGACTTCAGTGATATACTCCAGTATAACTGAATAGATACATACACCTGCAATATTAAACATCTCAGATCTCATGTTCTGTGTCTTAGTAACACTTTCTCCATGGGTTTAAGAGAAACCTAACTTTAAAAAATATTGTAATAAATTCTTCAATGCCAATTTGTTGAAATAATTAGGAAAATACTAGGCAAAACATTTACAGCCAGGTCTTGGGATAGCATCTTAAAATCAGGCAAAACAAAAAACATCTGTGAGCCAGAAATCAAGGCAGCCTGTTCTTTACATTTTTTCCTTCTATCATACTTCATGATTTTGTATTAAACTAATACAATTCTTCATTTGTTCTGTTAGTGCAGAGTAATTCCTGATGTGGAAATTCATTCTGCTTCCATTTGCACCAGCTTAATGCTAGCTAATTTCCCAGCATCAGAATTACTTTTAAGTTTATATCAATCTGCATAGGCAGAGATTTCAGCCCTCATATCTCCCTACCAGTTGCAAATGAAACCTGTGCCTACCCCGTGGGATAAAATTAGACAGACTGCATTTGCAGAATCACCAAAATAAAATTAACCTCCTTTCTTCCCTTATTTTTTCTTTTAATTCTTTCAGTATTTACATACAACAAGATCTTAAATCATTCACAAGTGTGGTTTCTACATTAAATACTGTCCTTCCAGTCTCCTGCATGCAAAACCAAGCAACCTGAATATCTTGACTTCTCCAGAATTACTTTAAAGTACAAAAACTTTTTGAATGGGTTTAATTCATGTCATTTCACTGCTGCTGCTGCAGGGCAGCCCCACAAAGATGTTCCCACATGGAGGAGGTCTCCTAGGTGTTACAAGTGCAGCTATGAATGGCCTGCAGCCCCGCTCACCGCGCCTCAGACAATGCCCATCCGTGAAAGAGCCCTGGTTTGCCTCATGCTCCATGCCACCGGCTTCGTAAGGTTTATTCCCGATTTACACCCGCGTACTGAGAGGAGAGTGGAGCCCAAGTAGCTTCCCAACAGTTACTAATTCCCCCCAGCCCGCCCACGAGGAAGAGGGTGTGATCACTGGTCTCCTTCCCTTGCCGCTCCACGCTGCCAGCAGCTCATGCCTGGTGGCTGACCGGGCATTTCAATTCACCCTCAGGAGCTGTCGTGTTCAGCATGACTCTGACACCGCCCCGCTAAAGATAGCCAAAAACATTGAAGATGGGTGGGGGAATGGCAGGCTTGGTGGGGATGGGTTTCAGAACCATGGGCCTGTAGAGTTTTTGCCCCGTGCCATCGGCCTCCTTGCAGAAGTGTGGCACCTCCACCGGCAGTGTGGCTGCACTCTTCCTCCACAGTCCCAGCCCTGGGAAGGGCGATGGGGGCAGCGCTCCCGGGGGCTGGTACACCCCTGTCCCGGGGCAAGGGAAGGGGCAGCAGGTCCAGGCACCCACCCGGCCTGAGAGGACCCCGGCAGGGTCCTTCTCCCCGGCATGTGGTGCAGGGTCAGGAGGGCTCTCTGGGCTAGCAGCATCTGGGCTCCATTTGCTTTTCTTCCCCTCATAGGGAGGAAGGTCTCTGGGAGCTGGGAGCCCCTCAGGACTGGCAGGAAAGGCCCTGGCTGTCAGGCTCTGAGCTGGCCGTGGTTCTTCCCAGAAGGAGGCAGGGAGCTGTCGCTTCCTCATGGGCACCTGGTCCGGCCGGACAGCCTCAGGTTTTTGCTCCTGCAAAACCCGTTCCCCAGTGAGGCTCTCCTCTGCCTCGGCTGTCTGCATCACCTTCTCGGCGGCAGCCCCACCATGGGGGCTGGGGTCAGGTGCCTCGGGCTGGGGGCCACGGCCCCGATCCTCTGCCCCCCTGCGCCAGCCACACTCAGGGGGTTTGCTGGGGTGACACCGTGGCATCCGTGAGTACTTCTGAGAAAACCGCTTGAGCTGCTTCTGTAAGTATTTTCTGTGGTCAACTGACCGGCGACAAGGAGCTGATTTATCCAGAGCAGCTTTGATGTCGCTGGAGGCCAGGTTGACGAAGTTCAGTAGGGTTTTTACCTCACTGTCTGATGCCATTTCACTGGATGCACCGTGCAGAGTTTCTCATGAAAAGTTTATAATCCGCCTTTGGACAAACCTTGGCAAACCTGCAAAACATGACGGGCAGACTTAAGAGCAAGAAGCTTTGGTTCAAATAGCACCAAGCAAATGAAGGGAAGGTGGGGGGACGTGTCAAACTTCTCAGCCACCCAAGCAAGTTGTCCGTCAGCTCGCCTCCGTGCAGGCAAACTCCTGTTGGAGCCGACGCGTGCCCGCAGCCCACCGCCCCGCACTGCTGCCCCAGCACACACCGGCACGGGGACTGGCTCGTGAATGCCAGCCAGCTCGGCGTCTAATCTTGTTAGATAGCTCTGAAGTGGGCAGAAGCCGGGGTGGCCTCCCTGTAAGCAAGCACGGACACTCACCCGGCGCGCGGCAGCTTTTCTCACCGGTGCTGGCGGCTGCGTCGCTGCAGAGAAGAGCCCCTTCCCTGCTAATCTCGTTAGGCAGGTTACACACCGCCAACCTCGGCGGAGGCAGCCAGGGCCCGCCAGTGTTTGGATGCAGTTTAGCAAGCACTTGAGCAAGCTGAATGAATATCGACTCCGGCGAGTTCGGGGCTCTCCCAGGCCAATCAGAAGCCACTTTGCCAAATACAAAGCATCCCAATCAGGCATCAGCCTCCCCTCCTTGCATTCTTTGCCATCACAAATTGTCTCCATGGGGACAGCCGCAGAAAGACAGCTAATAAATACAATCATTTCCCCACGATTTCTACCATTCTCCCCATCCTCTTCACCCCTACAGAAGCCTTTCTTTTAAAAACAACACAATCTAAGAGAAAATGCTTCAGGATGAGGACGAGTTAGGAAAGTTTAGACACCCTTTTCCCTGCACTCCCCAAAGCTCTCTGGGGGCTGATACTAACCATGCTTCATTGGCACAGGACAATGTAATACGGGGGACTGGACTAGCCTACTTTTAACCGTTCCCCATCAGAGCCTTTTTTTTTTTTTTAAGGGGAGGATGATGTCAGAAAAAGGTAGGAAAGGAACAAATCTCTAAAGAGATGTGCAGATATCCATGGAAAGGGAGCTTGAGCGCTCAAGAATCTTGTCTTTATGTTTGCCCCCTCAATTGAGTTACACAAAAGCTGAATTACCCATTCAAACTACCCGAACAAAAGGATGGAGTTGGATAGTACTCTTGCATCTGTAGTCAAACAGTTAGAGACTTAAATCGAGTCGTCATGATGGAGAAAGAGTTAGACAAAGCCCATAGAATTGCCATCAGCAAACATTTTCCTGTGTCATATTAGTGGGTCTCCATGACTCCCCCTGGCCTGGGGACAATAGCACAAGTTTGCACACTCGACTACTGTCACCCTGCCAACGCTGGCAAGGAGCAGAAACAGGACAATCCTTTAAGGGGAAAGCATGCCCGCTGCAGGGAAGGTAAGAAGAGAGGGAAGAAAAGGCGTGTGAAATGCTAATTGAGCTGCTTCCTTTACTGATGCAGAGTTATGTGAGCCCTTCGCCTTCTCGAAGGCTTATCCCTAAGGGGTGGCAATTACTTAATAGCACAGTAAAACCTAGAGCTGGAGGAAGAGGAGAGCAGAAGAGCTCCCCTTCATGTGCACTGGACACACTGATGACACAGAGCTGGCAGCAGCCTATATGCCAGCCAGGATTTGTTGCCTTCTGCAGCTGGAGCAGCGATGCTCCATCTCTAGTCCACACTCTAGGGATGGGAAGACTGGAGAGGGCCACAGGACCTGTGCACCCACTGTCAGGGAGATGCTGCCAGCTCTGAACCAAACACACACATACTGTGCAGAAAGCAGGGACTGAAGTCCAAGCCGTTTTGCAAGTAAAATCTACCTTACTGATGTAAGGCATCAAAGGCCTGAGCACTGAGGGTTGAAAACAACTATATTTTACAATAGTTATTTTACTGACAGTTATTTTACTTTATTTCTATCAATCCAATTTTCATCAGAGGAAGTCAAGATCTGGACTGTGCCATTATACGAAACTCTGGGCAGAGGCCTCAAGGATGACTCTTCAGTGTCTCTGTATTGGTGCACGCAGTGCTGACATCCCTATTCACATAATTTCTTCCAGTGTGGCCTGAGCCACATATGATGGTGCCCAGGCTCAGGTGTTTCAGGTCCAGGGAGACCCGGGAGTCAGGACATCCTGCAACAGAATGTGCTACAGAGTTTATGGCACTGCAGTGGGCTGTAACAGAGTGGCTGACTTGCTACTTGCAGATGTGCCTCTCTCCTCCAGCTTCTATTTCAGAAGCAATTCATTCCCTAGCAAACTTGGGGCAGCAAGCCCTGTCTGCACCCTCTGTCATCTACTTATGCCAGCATTCAAACCTCTGTTCTCTTTTCAGATCATTTGTGGGGGTAATTTCCAGTCACCTACTTGAGCATCTATTTCAGGATTCACTAGCTGGAGCTTGGCCCCTCTCTGTGGCCCAACACAGACACTTCTGTGCACCTGAGGCTATAGGGAGAGGTTTTGTCTAGCTCATTGAAAGAGATGTACACCAAGGGATCATGTCTCTGTTTGCAGGAACAAACTGCCTCCTGTGCTTGAACTTCCAAACCCAGACTGGACAGTGCAGTCTCCCATTAGAGCTAGTTGATCTCCCAAGGGGGTAGGAGGGGGAGACAGAGAGACATGTGACAGATGCCTGGGAGTAAAGGATTGTCTCAGCATTTTAATGAACTGTATCCTCAGAGACCTGAGAAACTCATGCCATGTATTATGTGACCTACATCCAATCATAGGGGCTCAAGACCCTGTTCTCTGAGACTGATGGCTAAGGGGTCAGTTGACTTAGGAGGGTGGATATGGCTTGCCTGCTTACTGGGGGATAATGAAAACCCAGCACCCTTCCAACATACTTACTGCAGAAGCCCATTCCAAGCTCCTAGACTACAGCCATGCCCATCCTCTCCCAGAAGGATGCTTGTGCAGGATGTGGTTTCTTGGGCACCACATAGCAGGGCTGGAGGGGCTCCCCATGCCTTGCTATGCTCAGTGCTCCTGCATCTCATTCTCCTGCAGCTGGGTAACAGTGGGGTGTCAGAGGGGAATGAACCAGCAAGCAGGATTTAAAAACCAGAGCAACCCACCCTTTCAAGGTCAGACTCAGGTTGAGCTGCACAGGGTTTTCTCTAAGAGGCCACCGGAGCCCTTTTGTTCCTCGCTGCTCTCACCATGTTCATCCCAATGTACATGTGAAAGAAACAATTAACAATAGGGCACTCCTCTACGAGGATCCAATGCACTTTGAAGTGTCCACCAACCAAAGGCTCAAGAATGATACATCATTTTCCACTGTGAACGTGTCAAACTAGTACAGCAATTGAAAAAATGTCTCCACATGCCTTCCCAGCATGCAGACAGGGACCAGCTGGAGAGCCACTTCATATCCGACATGTCACCCCCTGACAGCTGTCTTCTTGGGAATTTTTGGTATGTAAAGTTTTCTGACTCCTTTTTTAAAGTAAAGCACAAGAATTAATCAGTTCATTTGAAAATTGCAGCCAGGTCTCTCCTAAAATGCAGTATTTCCTTCAAGACTGAATGAAGAAGATTTTCTTGCACAAAAATACCTGCAAAGTGTTTTTAAAGTGTCACTCATTGTAAGTGATGTCAATATTTAGTCACTTCTACATCAAAATCTCCCACAGCTTTTTTCCAGGCTGAGGGGCCAATTCAGCAAAGGTATTCCAGCACCAGGCTGTCCTGGACCGAGTGAGCAGACGCACTAACCACAATGCACACCATTAATGGGGGCAGGGATCCCTCTCTCCTAAGTGTCACAAGCATTTCAAAGAGCAGGAACACCCAAATCATGCTGGTAAAGCAAAAGGCAGCTCACTAAACAGATGAGCAACAAAAAAACATCTGAGGTCACTGTTCTGACACTAGTTCACTCAAAATTCTTTTTCCTCCACTAAAATGAAGCTTTTTCTACATCTTAACCTGAGCAACAGGTTTTGTCACAGGGTTCACCCTACTGTCAGGAGGAGAGGAGAGGAGAGGTTCGGAGAGGACTCCTTGTTGAGGCTAGTGGATGTGCACTTCGAAGCAAAGAGAAAATGGGGCTCCAACAGTTGGGAAACGTAAGACAATAAGCTGGAAAATTTCCAGATGGGTCACCAGTGAATTGTTCCTTTACTTTGTCCCCTACAGGCAGTTAAAAGCAAAGATATTTCAGTTGCATAGTATCTTTTCACTCACCTGCTGCTTCCTAAGTCTCTGCTTTGCCTCCACACTTGAAAAAGAGAGCCAAGAGTGTGAGGGGAGGTGATAATGGTTCATGTGAAAACAGAAGTACTGGCCTGGAGAGGAGTAGTATTGAGATGGAGGAAGACCACTAACACTCTTACTCAGGGATCCTGATTTTAGATTTCATGTTGACAGTGACTGAAGTGGAAAGATGTCAATGACACACTGATGGCATAAAAATGGATGTTATTTAACATCAAACTGCAAGAATTGGGTAATCTTAGGAGTAAATGCAATGAGAGAGGAAAGGATTGCAGTAACTCTGAGCCATGCACCTCAGGAACTGATAGCAGGAATTTCTGTCATGAGGAAAAATATCACTGCCTGGAAATGAGAAGGAACAACAGCTCATAGGATGAAAACAAACCTCCGTCCATCTAGTCTGACCTTCAAAGTGGCAGGGGGGAAAGGGGTGAGGGAGACAGGTAGTGTGGTACTGATAATACTGCTCAGGCCTCCAAACAGGTTGTTCTCTAGACTTAGAGCCTGGTCTCAGCCTGGGATGTGAGCCTGGCCAACTCAGGACCTGTGGGTTCATATGAAAGAGATGTCTGACAGAGTGTGCATAGGGGTGCAGCCAAAGCCCTTGGCATCCCTTCCTGCACCCCAGCACACAGGTGCTGCAGACAGCAGGAGGGATGTCTTGCCCTGGCACTGATCCTCATGAAGCCTGGTCCTGCCCCAGAGCTCAGGGAAGGAGTATATGAGTCCTCTAATCTCAGGGAAGGAGAATATGGAATTTCTTCCCAGATTCCTGCTGTCCAGTTGTCCACTTTGCTCTCTCTCCTCATCTTCTCGTTGAAACTAACACCTCTGCTCCCAGGAGAAGAGCAACCTGGCTCTCCCAACAGATAAAGCTTTGACTCTTTCGCCCCACTCCTTTTTTTTCCCTTCTTGACAGTCTGCTTTGACCTGAGTGACATCCTCTCTTTGCTTTCAATCCCTGATTTTCTGCACTTGGGGACAGACTTTGAGCAGGCACTAAGTGCTGAGGCTATGCAGAGACGGTGAGGGGGGGCTGCAGCTACCCCGCAGCCTGCCATTCAGGCAGATGGTGGAGAGGGCCGATATGAATAGCTCCTGTCAGTCTCATAGAGCGAACTTTACAATTGTGCTACGTGTTGGACTGCACGTGACTAATGCCATTCTTCTGCAGGCTGCAGGCAGGACACAGCTGTTTCTTTAAGGAGAATTTTGTTTTTCTGGGCAGAAAAGAAAAGCACCCATGACAATGTTGTATTCATGTATCCAATATTACACTCCATAATTGGACACGATCAAAGCTCATCCTGCCTCTCTCTCACTGCGTCTCTTTCTGGTAAATAAGATAATGTTTAGAAAAGAGCATGGCCTTGGTTTGGTCCTTCTGGAGGTTTAAATTCTACTTCCCCACACAGCAGGTATGCACTGAGAAGAAGCAGCAGGGCCAAATATAGGGGTTTTTTAAATAATTCTGAATTAATTAATTTCAAGATCAGTAATGAACTCCACACCAAACACTACATGGAGCTTCTGTTGATGAGAAACTGTGCTGCAGAAAAGATCAAAAAAATACAGACATCAATATAAACATGTGAAAAGTTGAAGACCTTCTCTTAAAAACTGCAAAATAAGAAATGCACAATGGGCGCTGGACAGGGGATGAGTCTGGATCTTGAGCTTACAGTGCAGAAGGGCCATGTGAGACCAGAAGTGTAGTGCTCCTCCTACCCACATTTTGGTCAGGCTCACAGCCCTGTTTTCTGTTCCACTGTCTTGGATGAGGCTTCTCCACATCAGTGTTTCAACACTGAAATCAGTGCTGGGTGCAGCCAGAAACACACCCCTGACACTCCTGGACTAGCAATTCCTTACCCTGGGGCATGACTCTGTCCCACAGCCCAGACAGGGCTGCATGTGCAATTGGGCAGCCCTTGGCATTGGGATAAGGTGCAGACAGCCCCAGGCAGTACTGCCCTGAGCTGGCCCCCAGGGCAGTCTGGCCACGAGGCACGCAGCTATCTATTTAGCAAGGCACAGTTACATCCCTAACATTTCCTTCCGATTGCCTCCCTTACTGTGTTTCCAGACAGACTATCTGCCCACCAGCACTGGTGAACCACACCATGCAGCTACACTATCTTTTATCTTATCTCATAACTTTAGCACAATTCATAATTTGGGGAGTTCAGCCACCTTTGCTGTAGGCAGCAGTTCTCAAAGAAGTAGAATCAAGGTTGTACCAAGTTCAGTGTCATCCCTCCATCCCAGTTTTGGAAATGTCCTTCTCTAAAGTTGTCCTTTTGCTTCAAAGGAGTGTGGAAAGGTGATGAGGTCTGTAGCTGCTGCTGAGGGTCACCCTGGGAACCCCTAGAAGGGTCCATGGGAGGTGAGTGTCGGGAAATGCAAACAGCACACTGCACTTGCTGAGCAAGCTGGTCACAAGGAGCTTTGCAGGGCCTGCTTTTCTGCAAGGTGGGTAGAAACTTCCACAGGAGAGGAAATTATCACAGAGACGGAGAAGCATACACTTCTCTGGAGTGCTGCTGCCATCCTTACTACCCTGATGGTGCCCAAATGTGCGCCTTTGTGCTGAGCACCTTGGGACTAAGTGTGTATGCCAGGGTCTGCCTCTCAGCGTGCCGCATTTGATTCCCAGGCTGTGCTGGCACAGGTACGTGGCCATCACCCGGGGAAAACGCCTGTCCGCCTCGCCGCTCTGCTCCAGGGAACAGCCACGTAGATCCACGAGCCCTTCCCCGGGGTGCGCTGAACAGCCCGAGCCGGGGCCGTGCCGCGGCGCTGCCGCGAGGCGGCGCTGGGGGAGCCCAGCTGGGCCCGGCCCGCTCCCTCAAGTTCGCGCCGTGGGTTTTCCTCTTTGCTGTGGTCCGTCCTCTTCCCTCTCTCCCTCCTTCCTTCCTTCCTTCCTTTTCTCCCTCCCTGCTTCCTTTCCTCCTTTCCTGCCTTCTTCCTTCCCTTCCTCTCCCCCAGCGCTGCTCCCGGCCCCGGCAAGCCGCAGCCTTTACTCCGGTCAGAAAAGCCAACATCAGGGGTTAACTGTTATTTATAACAAATCCCCTCTCTCTCTTCTCCCCTTATCCCCTTTCAGACGGTGCTGAGGGGTGCGTTCAGGAGTTGCTCCCATCTCCCCACACTGTGCTGCTGCTGCTAAAACGCTGCGCACCAGGAGAGCAGGAAAAAACATCGCAGGGAAACAAACGAGCCTCTGTATCCAGGAGTCCCTTGCACGGGCAAAAGGTTCAAGGATGCCTGAGCAAAACCCAGGACAGCCCTAGAGCTCCCTCAGTTCAATGCTGCCTGAGCGTCCTCAGCGCCTTCCAGGCGCTTGAATCCAAATCTTCGGGACCAATCCTGCATTCATAAAGCATTGGTAAGACTTTCTGAGGAAAATAGGGTCTGCAGCACATATTGCAGCGAAGAAATCGAGCAAATCACAGAGCCAATATTGATCGAGGCATTAGTGATCAGAATCAGTCTCTGCTGGAGCTCAGTATTTGCTCTAGAATCTCTGGGCTTGGTACTCCCACTGAAGCCAAATTTTAACCGGGCGTGGATTTTTACAGGTGCCAAATTAGGTTCCACCATGAGTTTTCCATTAAAAACACAAGAGCTGGGTACTTGGAGCACATTAGCACTCTGCTTTTCTGGGATATTACGTCCCAGTGTTTACGTCCACTGGGATTCTATGGTGGGTGCTGACAGGAGGCAGCAGAGTTTGGTATGTGCTCCTGCAGAATGTAAAACTACTTTGAACACCAATATGCTGAAGTAAAAAAAAAAAAGTTTATTTGCCTTACACAATCTCTTCAATCATCTTTTGAAGAGAGAATGCTAATAAAGAAAAAAATAATGTGTAATTGCTCATGACAAATAACAATAAGAATATATTGTCCAAATTGGGCGGCCAAACCAATTTTTCCAAGTCTGATGCCAAGTTTGTCATTTTTCTTCTTTTGTTTCTGCCCCCAGTGAATGTAGTACATAGGAAAGCCTGTCACTGTTGCACAAGCTAGATCTGTGCATCAAGCTGCCAGGCACGAGCAGAGCTTCACATGAGAGAGAGTGGTATTGGAGAGCCTGGTCTGATCCATCATGGGGGACCAGGGAAATTAATCCAGATAGTGCTTTTAAGTAGTGCTTCGCTCACAAAATTCTCTAATCAGTGCCTCATGGTGAATGAGAAGTATTTGTAGCTATTTGTGAGAGTAGCTTAAATGTCTATTGCTTGCAGTGTGATTTGCACCTTGGCAATGAAATTAATAGACTTTTATATCTGATGAAACTTTTATGTCTGAGGAGGCTTTTATACCTGAAATACTTAGCAGAATTTGTATTCTTTTCTTCATGGAAGTATAATCTGATGCTAGGCTCAAGGACAGCAAAGAGTGGTACAAGCAATACTTGGGCATAGCTTTGGCAATCCTCAGCTTAGTGACTACTGTTTGTTCTATCAGATAGGAGTGACACAAAGTAAACTAGAGGAGACTTACAGTTTGCCAGCCTGACTAAAACAGAACTCTGCCTCTGCATCTGCTTGTCAGAGAAAGATCTGTAGACTATAGAGCTACCTGCACTGAGAGTAAATAGGAAAAGAAAGGGTGAAAATGCAACTTGCTGTCCTGCTAGGAGTCTCCTTCTCACTGACAGGAAGAGGTATGAGCATATATGTGTGCTGCTGTAGATCCCAGTTCAGAGGAATACATGAGCATGAGCTTATGTGCACTCTAAAGATGTCAACATATTCTTATTTATATGGACTCTACTAAACTAACCTTTGATTAGCAGCAATCAGTTCTTCCTAACCCACTTCTTTTGGACAATGAGAAGGACACTACTCCACCGTGTTCAATGCTGAACAGAATGCTAATTCCAGCAGTCCGGGTTTACAATGTGATATATTTGAAACAATTGTCCAGTTGCAACTGATAGAACTTAAATGTTGGATACTGAGGGAGTCCTCAGGCCTGAGCTGGTCGAGAAATCCCCCTCAGTCTAAGAGCTTAACCTAGATGTACAGGACCCTTCTGTTAAGGATTAGTTTTGCTGGAAAATGCAAAAGTTTTACATTTTCTGATAAACAAGTGATTACATCTGCATTATTCCCAGAGCTGAAGCTTTGATGGCAAGGTGAAACATCTTTGGACAAAGAGAAGCACAGCCAGCCTCTGAAAAGCAGACCCTTTTGGATAAATTGACCTGGATAAAACAACAAGGACAAGATAGCATTCAACTCAGTGTGCTGAAAGAGCAAATATGAAATTTCTGAGCTACCAAAGCAGAACTTACACCAGCCACCACCTCAAGGAACAAAGGTGAGTAATGTGATAGGGAGCTGTATGAATAACAGAATAAATATAGCAACATTTCCTCTGGATTGGTTTACAAAAGGGGTGTCCAAGGGCTTATGCTAGGATCGATGCTGTTCACCATCTCTATATGGGGCATGGCAAAGCGGGTGAATACTGGCAAAGTTTGCAGATGATACAAAATTATTCATAATAATCAAAGCTAAAGCTGACTTTTGCAGAAGGAGCTTATAATACCAACTGACATTGAAGTGCCAGATGAAATTCAGTATTGACAAGTGCAAAGTAAGGCACTTAGGGAAAAAATAACTCTACTTATACATCTGCAGTGACGGTCTCTAGATAGCAACACTCAAGAAAGTTCTTGGGTAACTGAAATTGAGGTTTCTGAAAACATCACTTACTGCCCTGCAACAGTCAAAAGGCAAATTGAATAGTAGGAATTGCTAAATGAGAGAACACAATAAAACAGAATAGAAAATAGTGTTCCAGCACTGAGCTAATAACTTTAGGAAAGATATAGAACAGGTAACAAGGATGGTCAGAGTTTTGTAACAGTTTATTTTTCAGGAAAGACTAAATTAGACCTTTTCAACTTGAAAGAAAACTACCTGAGGTGACTAGATGTAAGTGTATAAAATCACCAATGGCATGGAGAAGGTAAACAGACCAAGGTTAATTTGTATTTCTCCGATACAAGAATTAGGGATAACAAATTGAATTATCCTACAATAGATTTAAACCATAAGGAAGAAATTTTCCACATGATGCATTAAATCATGGGACTTGTTGCCAAAACAGCAACTTGTTGTTGCACAAATGTGTTTAAATAAGACTTAGACAAAGTCATGCCATATAGGACCACTGTTAGGATGAAAAATCCACCTTCAACCTGTAGCTCAGGGACTCTTGAAACTATCGATTGCCAAAAACCAGAAGAGGGTATCAGGTGCAGATCACTGTATACTGCCCCTGTCCTTGTGCCCTTCCTTAAATATCTACATAAGCTGATATCTGAGGTGAGATACTGGGCTATAGAGACTTTTCATCTTATTCACAGGAGCATTTTTTATTTGAAGGAATGGGAAAATACATCCTGGGTATGATTATGCAGTGAGAGGCAAGGAATGTGTGTACTGGAACCATGTGAAAAACAAGGTCCCATTTCCTTCCGCGCACTACTTACAAGTTTGTTTGGGACTATTCTGCATTGATAGCAATTTTGTTTTGATCCTCATAAAAGGATGTCTGCAGCTCGGAAAGATTTAGTTATGATTTTTTTTAAAAGACGAGGTTGTTCTAGGGAGCTAACGTAATTCAAAGTGTCATCCATCATGAAAAAAATACTTTATTTTTTTGTGAAGATTTTGTTTGAATTGTTGTTGTATTATGGTCTCAGTCATAGCATCTTTTCTTACACCGGAACATACAGTACTGAGCCCATCAAAACAAAAGTCCTAGTCCAGTTCTGAAAGCAGCAACATGCCTGCTTACCTCTGAAGCCTCTCTCCAGCATGGCAGGAAGTCAGGGTGGCCATTCATTTCTATACACTTGAGTGTGTGTGTGCTTGCAGATTTGTGGTGCAGGAGAAAATCCAAGCCAGAGAGAGAGAGATAAAATTATATTTCTTCTTATTTGCTTGTTTGCAGACTCTACCAGGGACTCAGATGCACGAGCTCAGTTGGCACAGTGTCTGCATCTAGGCTGACTGTGGGGTCTAAAACATAAACAAAGTAGGCAGTTGTTGAAGGCAGCACGCAACTGGCAGCAACCAGATGTGGGCCTGACAGCAGGAGCAGACAAGCTCCTGGGGCAGCACAAATTCAATTTTGCTCAACTTGCTGCTGAGTCTCATGTTGCATTACCTGGTTTGCAAACACAGGGAGGCATTTTCCCACTGGAGCTAAAAACCACTGAGATGGGGATGTTTCTGCTGTCCCATTTTATCATACAGATTTCATGACCACATTTGAGGACATATTTGACATAGAGGCAAAAGTGAAAGACTTTGAGATTTCCCAGGAGTGAGACAAATACCCATCCTCAGCCCCATGAGCCTTTTGATACTGCAATGAAGTGTTTTTGGTAGGAAAACTTTGGTTGCTTTCTGTTCCAAACAGCACAGCTTTGATAAATGCAGCAGGATTGATCTGTGCTGTGTGTCCCTTAACTGAGTTACCATGTATAATCCTCTCTGGAACAGAACATTTACATTCCACTGACCTAGTTGAAAAAATGCATTAATTTTAATTTATGCAAAATTCTCCCAATAGAAGAGTGAGAGGAGAGAGGCGATTTTTTATTTGCAGTCCTTGCCTGCTTGGAGCTAGAAGTGAAGGCCAGCTTTTTAATCAGGATTTTTTTTAAATGCTGAAGCATTTCAGTGGGTGTCTTGTTCATGTAATCCAGATAGAGCTTTATTACCTCACATATATCTCATGGAGTCACAAATACAAAATGTACCATCAACCTGTCTCCTCTCCACTGCAGGGTGTCTCTGCCTCTGGAGACCCCTGTGCAACGGGGCACCAAGGATAGTTTAACACAAGAAAGAAAACAAAGCCTTCACCCAGACACCTCATTTGAACTGGCCCTGTTGCACATCTCTGTGAAGGCTGATCCCATATGGAGGGATTGGGGAACTTTATTGTTGAAGAGGGGGTTAATGGTGCATATTTCTATATCAGCTGACCTGAAAAGCTGACCTGAAAAGCTAACCAGAGAGCATGGTTAGCCCACAGCCCAGCCCCAGTGCTGCAGTTCCAACAAAGGAAAAATGGCCAGTAACATTTGTGAGAGTTGGCTGTGTAGCCAAAAATTTCGCTGTAGGGTCACTTCATCTGTCTCAGTGAGTCAAACACAACAGGAACATTTACAAAAGGAACTGAGTGGAGGGTGCTTTGCTATTGCTTCAGCATGGAAAAACAGAGGGAAAGATGCCTCATGTTAGAATTCCCTTTAGTAAGAATCATTTTGGGGTCTTGACTCAGCAATGTGGCTGCAGCCAGCCAGCCCCATTTCCACATGGGAGGCTGGCAGAGCAAGGAAGAGGTAGGAGCCATCATAATTGCTCAGCAAGCTCTTTGGCGGTTACCAAAATTGCTGTAGTCAGTGTGAAATAAAGCAAATTCAGGAGCTTTTCATACCAAAATGGCCTAGGAACAGGAGAGCACCACAGTGTCTGTCATCTTTTTCTTTACTCCTGCATAAAGGGTAAATTTGGGGCAGGTGAGCACAAGGTCCTTTCTCTATCCCTGGGGGCTCAAACCCAGCCTGTCTTATGCTGACAGCCCAGCTGTGGCTGAGGGGACTCCTCTTTCTGTGCCCAAAGCAGGAGCTCTGCGAGCCTGAGCAATGCCACAGCTGTCCACAGGAGCCTGTGTGTGACCTGAGGGGGCAACTCAGAAACCCACTGGTCTGGGGAGATGTTTGGATCCCAACTCTGTCATGAATCCTCATCCTATAGCGGAAACATGAAACGCAGCCTATGCTTATGCATTGTTGCTGCATAGTATTTTGTCTCATGCAGTCCTTGACAAGGTTACCATGCAAACATAGGAACCACAACTTGAGCAAATGAGAGGAAAAAAAATCCCAAACCATACAGTTATCTGCAACTGTGTAATTCTTAAATCTCCTTATCATGTAGTATCCTGATGTTTACAGTCTTGCACCTTTCTTTGTTTCAAAATCATCTCTATAATAACTTCAAGAATGAGAAAAACTTCCCTTGTAGGTGCAAGTAAGCATCTGTGTTTACTGGAGATATCACAGGGATGAATTTTATTGCTAATGTGTAAGGGCAAGAGCCACCATGCTTCCAAGAGACTACTGCCCACCTGACATGATATTTTTTCTTGGTTACTGGTATCTTTAGCTTACAGTAAAGCTCATTTCAGATGGAAAGTAGTGTAGATGTTTCGCTCATTACCAATGGAAATGTGATGGTGTGTTCTCAGTAAGGCTCTGAATGTGCTTATCTCCAGCTGTTTAAGAACACATTCATGTTGCTGAAGAAGGGCAATCCCTACACTAAACTGCAGCTGCTCAGAGAGATATAGTATTGTAAAATGCAGACAGTGATTTGTGACAATAGAGAAATTTTCCTTTTTTTCCCCAGCCAAAAAGCAGTCATTTTACAATCTATCTTATGCAGCATGAGAAAGCTATTATGGAAAGTAACCTTTCCCTTTTTCCAAATGAATAGATACCAAGAACATCAGAGGTATAGTATCAGGCAGGTATAAATAATGAAAGGTGAGGAAAGCAGAAGGTATATTGTCCACAAAAAAAAGTACCCCATCAGCTCCCTGAACATATACTAAGATTTATTTGGTAATTAAACCAGCAATATAAATTTCAAACATTACAATCCAATTGTCAGGTTTTCAAGCCTAGATAACTCACAAGCTGTCAAATCTCCTTCCAAACACATGTACACTCTTACAAACCTGTCTTTCTCTGCAGCTGGACTTCGGCAGAGTCTTAATTACTTCAAGAGAGAAAGATGCTTATGCAATGATACAACTTTTGCTAAAAATAAAGAAAACAGAAATCTATAAGTAATATCAATGAAACAATGCACATCTCTCTATACAATTTAAGGTTTGGAGAACTCTGGCAGAACGGAGGGAATTTTATCAGCCATTCTTCCAGGTATGGAAGTGTTGAGAAGAGACCAGACAGTAGCACTAGACCAGTTGTTCACTTGAGTAGCTTGGTAAAAGCAGTCCGCAGGTGGAGATACTTTTTCAGAAGAATTTATCTTCCATGAAATTTGTCATGATATTCAGGAATTTGAATTACTCATAGTTTATAGGGATTTGCTATTATTAATCTAGTTTGTTTTAAGATTTCAAATGGCATTCTGTAATGTCACTCTAAGGACAAAGCTGACCAAAGCTTTCTGACAGAGAAGATCATTCCACAGTTTTGAACACACCTGGTGTTTTGTGCCATCACATCCAGACGCTTACTAAGAAAAGCAGCCCATAATCATGAGCGT